CCCCAAAACCCCAAAACCCCAAAACCCCTATGGGAAATTAGTGGTATTTGTTAGATCTAAATAATTGATAATTGAAATTCGAAATTAATCTCTAACTTAAATTTATCGATTTCGACTTTATTCTAATTAAATTTGAAAATATAATTATTTCTATGTATAAGTTTAGAGGCCTTTCAGTATCACTCTTAATTTTGCTTACAATTAGCTATACTTCACAAAGAATCTATAAGCATGGTAATAGAATCCTTTAATCAAGCAGTTAATAAAGCTTAGACAATCTAAATAGTTCATTAAATATAAAAGCAGATAGCAATCAAACCAGAATTGATAATGCAATAACTAAATTAATTAGCTAAGATGAATACCTTTTTCCGAATGGTTCCATAAATTGGGCATATTTATATCAATTTTCAAATGGAACAATAACTTAAGATATGATTGGATCCACTGGAAATCTATCTAGTTTATTGAGCGATCTAGGAGGTTTAAATGGTGAAATTTAGGATCAAATCAAAAAAGCTTGATATGCTGCATTTTTCTAGACGTTTGTTTCATAAACAACCATAGGTAAATCTTTGACAGACTTCAATTTTTCAAAGTATGATTTCTTAGACAACGCTTCAAAAGCAGTTGCTATAAAGAGTATCACTGACTAAATTAAGTCATTTTTGAATAGTTTGGATAGCAGCTTCATGAAATAATTTGGAGAAAATTTGTTCAAGTATACTAATTTGAATGATGATTCCTAGGTTATCGCAATGCTTTAATAAGGATTCACTAGTATTGAGAGTATTTAAGCAAAGGACGCTGCAAATAAAAAGGCAAGTACTAGTAAATCTAGCTCAAATAATGTTGTAGTAATTGTTTTGCCAATCGTTGTTGGGGTTCTCTTATTTCCACTAATATTCGTGATTTATTTTTGCGTTTGCATAAGGAAAAAGAAGATAAATGGCTAAAAACGATTGATTTTGAGGAAAACATGTAGAAAATGCTTATGTATACAGAATTGGTGGAAAAATTACAAGATACATTAGCATAATCATCATCATAATAGACACGAATCATAGCACCTCAATAAAGCAAACATTCATGACAGCTAATACTTTACGAATAATTAAGTTAAAATTATGCCTTATCCAACATTAGAGACATCAATGAACTTAGTTCATGAGTAGCCTGCAGAGAACCAAGGGTAGTTCCAAATTATTTACTCTCAAGCATAATCCAAAGTGAATGGGCCGATGCCTTATCCATTATACTCTGGTATCTATTCTCACAGCACTAAAGTCTATTACAAAAACTAGAAGAAGCCAATAGTAAACAGCTATATATAGCCATAACTGATTTAAAATCATGAATTTGAAAGCACTCAGTAAATATAATTAAAGCAAGCAGTCTAACCGCCAGTAGTTTAGCAATGAGGCTAAAAATAAAATTATGAAAATTGTGATTTCTGTTGAGTAAAAATAGTAAGAATGTCCCAATGCAAAGACTTAAGTTTGATACTTCACTTTAAAATCTGGATTAATTTTAATTTCATAATTTACTGATTTTAGAACATTTCATTTAATATCTAGACGGGGTTTTGGGGTTTTGGGGTTTTGGGG